TCCACTTTTCAAGTTTTTATCATTTTTAGCTATCCAAACCCTAAATCTATCCATTTCTCTCCACTCTCTCACCTCTCTCCACAACGCCGCCTCCTCCATTTCTCTCCATCCTCCCACACCGCCTTCTCCTCCTCCTTTCCCCTATTTAATTCCGCTGCTGCAATAAACTGCGGAGTCTGCAGAGACAGTGGCGGCGGCGGCGGCGGTGTAAAAGTCATCTGAAAAGCTTGAACGGGTGATGTCTTGACTGGTGCCGGATACTAAATTATCTGGGTATGGTGCATAGGGGACCCTGATTTAAGATCCGACTCCTGTAAAGGTTTAGGCATCGGGTCTGATATAGGTTTCATGTGTGGGGACAATGATTTCATGTTCGATTCTAAACGGCAGCATCAACAGTTCCAAAATCGTTTTTCTGAACAAACGCCCACAGCCAAGGCTCGGTAAAGGCGTCACCAATACTTGCTGAGTCTGTGAGCGTAGCCTCCTTGATTCCTTCAATATCTGCTCCCTTGGCTGCAAGGTATCATNTGAATTTCTGCTCCCTTGGCTGCAAGGTATCATTTATCTATTCACCTCTTTTCTTTTTCGTGAAAAACTATTCATTTTCTGGCCCTTATGAATCTATGATGTGATTGATGAAATGATCAGATTGCAGGACATCGAATAAGTTTGGAAAAAGGAAGCAAATGTGGGAGTGGGATGAATCCATAGCCGGCGACGCTACAAAAAGGCATAATAAACTGATGAAGAACAGAATCCAACCGGAGGAATTATTATATAATACTAATAATGGGTGGTGGGTGTTGGTGTTGTTCTTGTTGGTGGGTGGTTGTGGTGGCGACGGGCAGATGGGATGAAGAGTGTATGTGACCAACTATTTGGTCGATCTGTGACCAAGCATTGGTGATCTACTGAGATTGGGGAACGGGTGTTTGGATGTACGTGACCAATTATGTGGTCCGTGATCTTATAATTTGTTAATCTGTGACTCAAAAATATAATCTGTAACCAACAAATTTGGAAATATGTGATCTCTGTGACCTATAATTTTTTTAACTTGTGACAAATTAAAAATCTGTGACCTATAGTTTTTTTGATCAGTGACCAATTAAAAAGTCTGTGACCTTATAATTTTAGATTTGTGATCTCGAAATAATCTGACCTACAAAATTTTTTATCTGTGACCTAAAAAAATACGTAACCTACAAAAAATTTATTTGGGACCTCGAAATATAATCTGTGACCTATAAATTTTTTCATCT